TCTAATAATATTAGTTTCCTGTATTGCGATTCAACAATATCTTGAATTTCATCGGTCAAAAAACCAGTAACATGTCTTGTTTTTAATTCAAATTTATGAAGTGAATGTAATGGTTTATTCATGCTCTCATATTGATTTAGCCTTCTTTCTGTGTATCGTCGTATAACTTGCTGCAATGGTTTTTCTGTTTTGCGCAGAAAACTTTTTAAAATTTGTAAAAAATTTTCGAATCTAAATGAACTAAAAGAATCAAGTGGCCCAAATTTTCGAACTTCATTTGAGATGTGTAATAAATTATGTAGATTATGAGATATATATTCTTTACCATAAATTTTCTCAAATGATTGAACAAAATGTTGCAACAGTTTTTCTGCATAATCTATATTGTTTTTATTTACTATTAGTGTTGGACTGATGAGTATTGATACAGCTACATGCAAAGTCAAAAAGTGTATATATACGTCTGTATTTAAAACAGTTTTTAAAACAATAGGTCCAGTGTAAAGTAAAAATTGCCGAAATTCTGTGGCTTTCCAGTATGCTACTTCACTTAAACTTCGAGGTCGCCTTGAAAATTCTTTAGGCACTGTACTTTTTAAATTAATAAGTCTTTGTGAAATATTGTCTTTTGCTTGAGCACTAATGCGAACAGCTAGTGGTCCACTCATCCACAACAATATCATTTTTTTTACAACGCCCAAACAAATTAAGTGCATATAATCAAGAGCAATATTTGACACTAATCTTAAATTAGGCACAGAGAGTAAAATTGTGGGTTCTCCTTGATGATAATCAGAGTCTGTTTGACGTACAAAGTCTTCGTTAGTTCTAAGTGCATCAGTTGATCTTTGTTCATAAGGAAAGCACATTTTAGAGTTAATAGAATCTCCGTACATTTAGTACAGCTTGAATAGCCATTATGTCCTTTAATATTTAAAATAAAAGATTTTGCTGGAGCATCACAAATAATAGCCTTAACATTAATTTTAATATTACAGTTAAAGAGATCTGAATGATATCCGTTCTGTATTAATGGTATTAGTTCTGTCACAAATTGTTGTAAAAATTCATTGGAATTATTTGGTTTCTTTTCACCATAAAACAGTCCGACTACATGCACTTGATTTGAAATATCGTCTGAAAGTAATATTGGCCAGAAACTGCTTGGCGATGATCTGGATAATGGCAGACCGTCTATGTTAATTAATAAATTAATTTCAGATACCTTCAAAGACTTATTTTTATAGTGCAGCAGAAGTACTTCCAAAGTGCTCAATAAACCAAAGTGGTAATACGATCCTCCAGATAATGCAACTATTTCAGCAGTTTTCTTAGGTGTTTTTAGAAGCGTTCTTGCATCCTTCGGCAAAGTTTTGAATTGTGAATGTGGAGCATGTCTCAGAATTTCCATAAGAGCATTAATTGCATTATGCTTGATTTTAAATTCAAAACACCAATTTCGAAGATCGCGTAACAATTCGTTATTCATACTTTCATCTTCATCGTCAATATATTCAATATCCATGTCTGCATCGTCACTCGAATCATCAGAGTCAAACGATAACGGTTGCATTTCTTCTTGTTCTTCGGAATCAACAAAATTTTCATCGTCTGTGACCACTTCTGATGAGTTATGTATTTCATCTGACAATAATTCGTTATCATTGTTGTCACTGTTTGGTGAATATTGATTAATGTGCTCCTGGTCACTAGAAGAAGATGAAACTGATGGATCATTTTCAATTCGGCATTTTTTTATAGATTCGACCGATGGTTCAAAATAAGTTGCACCACTGCTTGATGTCGATGCTAGCAACAAATCTTTTTCTGTTTCTTCTTGTGCTAATCGTCTCTTATGCCTCGAAGAAATATGATGGTTATCTTTTTTATCCATGATATTTTATTATTATATAAAAATTATTTATTGTTGTATAACCTATAAAATAATCAAATACACTTTAATTGTACATATAGCAATTACATATTATTATATAACAACCGTATATAGAGAAATTCAATACAATAATATATACTTACCTTTGACTCACTAATATTTATTACTTTAAATTATTTTTCACTAGCTTTTAATTTCTAAGCTTTTCTAACTAAAGAATTATTGAGAGCTCACTGAGATTTCTTTTCTTTACTGAATGTGACCATTCCTATCATATTACAAAAACGCAAATGAATCGTTCCTCTGAAACGTTGTAGAGAAATAAGACATTTGTTGTCAACATCAAACAAGATATTAATGTGACGTTTCATGTCCTTCAGATAATAACCGCGAATACAGAAAACATGTCAAAAACTATCCATTTATGATTTCTTTAAGTTATACTGGCGCTACTGCGGTACGCCATCTTATTATATATTATTAAATACGTATTAACTATGTGTTTGATACATTTCCACATTTATACATTTATATAATATGCGCAATATGTCTGCTATGTATTACATACGTATTTTGATTTGGATATTTCATATCTATTGCATTAATTATATATTTAATACATTATATTTGATATGAAATGAAACGCAATGTAAATATGTATTTAATATATATTTGCAATGAAAGGTGCTGTGCGGGAATTACCATGATTATTGGTTCATAGTTACCAAATGATTTAGTCATATCACAGATGTCTATACTAAACTATTAAGATTGCTTCGGACTTACGTCGCATGGGGTTTCAGGTTGTATGCGAGAAAATGGCGGCGGTCCTGTGTGTGTGACGCATAGCACTTGTGCCAGTATCTTACAACATACAGTGTGAGTCGTGGCCATTAAATTGCTGTCGTAAAACAAAAAATGCCTGCATCTTGTTGCAATAAAAAAATATGGACGTTATTATATATTGGACGTTATTTGCTTTGCTCATTTTCAACAAAAGAATTTTATGACTAAACGTAGTGAAAATATGTGGCGGCAGCGGCCATTTTCTCGCATACACCAGAAACTCTATCGGACGCGTCATGCTATCCTAATGATGACATCTAGCAATCTAGATTAGTATAGACATTTGTGGGTCATATTCATCTCTATATTTAGTTAAAACAATTTTACTAAATAATTTAGTAACTATAACATAGGCTAGGTAATTATTACCAGTCATTTTTTTTAGTGTAGGACAGAACTCGGAATTAGTTGCCCATTTCGGCCGATTCTCGGAAGCTACATCTTTTATCTTACCGCGAACGAGCCACGCAAGTGACAGTCGCGGCTCCAAGCTTGGAGCCGCGACTGACCGTGACGGTCACTTAGGCTGAAGTCCTATGGCATGTATTTTCCGCGTACCGCGTAAACGCGTAACCAATAAATTGCGACGTTTAGTATTTCTGTTGAAACTTCTAAAAGAATAGAAAGATATGATTAGTTATGCGGTTACGCGTTACGCGAAAATACATGTCATGGGACTACACTTTTACGCGGCCCGCTCGCAACAAGGATAGAAGGCGTAGCTTCCGAGAATCGGCCGAAATGGGCATCTAATTCCGAGCTCTGATGTAGGATATCCCTATGACAGTAGCTTCCGAGAATCGGCCGAAATGGGCAACTAATTCTGAGAACTGCCCTAAGATATATTCGAAACATTTCTGCTGTGTAGGTGGTGTGACCAGTGGCATTCTCATGGAATATTCCTCGATATTCCCATGTTAATTGGATTTGGTCATCCGGTACGATTATCGATCACCGGAATGCTAGTGCGAAGCGAATATCAGCTGGTTTCCCTGGAGATACTTTGTTAAAAGATTCTCAGATCTTCTCTGAACGCATTATAATTTTTATGTATTCTACATCAATAAAGTTCTCATTTTTTTTTATATTTTGTGAACTGTTATTTCCCACGGACACGACGCGATATCGAATATTCGCGCGACGCAGCAATATGTAGAGAAGTAATATAGAGCACCGGAGTAATTTGACTTGGGCACCGCATAGAACCCTTTCGTTATGACTGATCTGGACGCGGGACTTCTCTGCTGTATGGATACTGTATTGAACGCATATAATGAATATTATTAGCTTGAACGACATCTACTACGATACATTGTACAATGCCTCATTATTATGTTAATATGGAACAATAATTAATAAATTTATAATATTTGTACGTATATATTTATTTATATATATCTTATAAACTTTTAATGAATGAAATAATAGTTCTTTATAGAACAATAGTATCTATAAGTATGTTAATGTTATAGTTCTTT